ATCTCAATGTCAAGAAAACAAAAATCCTCACCACTGGACCAATAAACAACATTCTTATCAATGGAGAAAAGATTGAAATTGTCAAAGACTTCATTCTTGGATCAACTATCAACACTCGCGGAAGCAGCAGTCAAAAGATCAGATGACATATTGCATTAGGCAAATCTGCTCCACAGGAACTGTTTAAAGTATTGAAGAGCAGAGATGTCAGCTTGAGGATTAGGTGTGCCTGACCCAAGCCATGGTATTTTCCGTAACCTCATATGAATGCGAAAGCTGGACCGTGAATAAGGAAGAGCGTAGAAGAATTGATGCCTTTGAGTTGTGGTGTTGGAGGAGAATACTGAAAGTGCCATGGACTGCCAAAAGATCTGTTTTGGAAGAAGTGCAGCCAGAGTGCTCCTTGGAGGTCAAGATGGCTAAGCTTCGTCTATCATACTTTGGACATATTGTCCGGAGAGAACAGTCGCTGGAGAAGGATGTCATGCTGGGTAAGGTGGAGGGTCAGAGAAAGAGAGGAAGATCCCTAATGAGATGGATCGGCCAGGTGGCATCATTGATGGACTCGAGTGTGACAGCAGTAGTGAGGTTGGCCCAGGATCAGACATTGTTTCATTTTGCTGTGCATGGGGTTGCTATGAGTCGGTTCCGATTTGATGGCACCTGACAACAACAACAACAACAACAACCCTGTTGAGGATTGGTATAAGTCAGAATGGACTCGAGGTCAATGGGTCAGGTGTGGTTTGCTTTTGGGGACTTTAAAATCCATCACCTTTGCTATACTCGGTTAGAAGCAAGTTCACAGGGTTTAGCTCAAGGACCACAGACAGGGTCTAATCAAGGGCAGGGGATTACACAAAGGTGTGGATTCCAGGGGTTAGGAAACATGAGAACCACCTTAGAATTCTGCCTACCACAAGTAATAATGATACGAAGCAGTTTTTGCACAATTTATACCTTTTCTTATTGAGATGCTTCTTGCAGTTGATAGCATCAGTTGCTGTCATCAGGTAACATTTGTGACATGACCTTACGCAGTAGAAATCTTTTCTAGTTTTGCTTCATTTGCTTGGATCTATCACATTCTGATCCTTCCATGATGGGGGTCAAAAATCTTAGATCCTCTGTGTAATTTCATGACACTCCTCCACTGGAATTAGAAGATATGGCAATAATAAATAAATGTGTTAAAGTACATGCGTGAATTGACAAATTTTATGTGCTTTACCACTACTCTTGAGTTTAAACAAGAGTAGGTCATCGAATATACTGTTGAGAATGGCTTTCTTCATGACAAGTTGAAATTTGTACACGTCTACTGCCCTTGCTGATAGACAGCCTCAGGTGATTGTTGTGTCTGTGTCTCTCAGGTAACCAAAGTCATCCTGGCTTTCCATCGTGCTGAGGAGGCCGCCTTCACCAGTGGGGAGCAAGAGCTCTTTGTCCAGTTCTGCACAGTCTTCCTGGAGGACCTTGTCCCATACTTAAATCGCTGTCTCCAAGTGCTTTTCCCACCAGCTCAGATAGCACAGACTTTAGGTAAGAGAAAGGACAAAGGCTACTGTAAATGGCTTTATTGATATCCAGTGCACCTGGTGTAAATGTACAGTGTAGTGGTTAGAAAGTGGGTTTCCAACCTCAAAGTCAGCAGTTCGAAACTACCGCTGTTCCATGGGAGAAAGATGAGGCTTTCTGCTTCTGGAAAGATTTACAGCTTCAGAAACCCTCTACAGGGTCGCTATGAGTCGGAACCAACTCCAGGGCACATCACCACCACCACCAAATATACAGTTCCATTTCTTTCTTTCTTTCTCTTTTGTAGCACATGTATGTAGCTATTACCACAGTCCAGGCGTAGAAGCCTGTCCATCCCCCCAAGAGACTGCATGCCATTGGAAGACATTTCCATCCTTACCCACTGCTCACTTTTCTAGCTTTAGAGATTTGCCTTTTCTGGACATTTCTTACCAGTGAAATCATACAATATAGTAGTCTTTTTTGAGTCAGAACCGACTCAACGGCACTGAACAGCAGCAACAAATGCAAGAAGTCAGTCACAAGACTACGTATTGAATGATTTCATTTCCGAGCTATCCAGAGGCATTTTTAACCTTGTTGTTGTTAAGTGCCATTGAGTTGGTTCTGACCCATAGCGAAATCTGTATAGGGTTTCTGAGGAGCAGCTGGTGAGCTTGAACTGCCAACCTTGCAGTTTAGACAGCTTTGCAGTCTGGCACATTAACCCCCAGTGCCACACCAGGACTCTGTTTTTAACCTATCTCATTTTGCTTGGGCTTCCCTGTGACAACTCTGCAGCTTGGGAGAGGGGTGGGGGAGCGGCATGGAGACACAGCTTCCCAAAGACCCTGCAGGGAGCCCAGGCTCACATTAACAGTGACTGCTCTGTTGGCCCCAAAGCTCTGTTGCTGAGGAGCCCAGTGCTTACTGGGTTTTCTAGCCCCTATTTGTGCTGTCTGTTCTTGTAAAGTTGTATCGTCTCGGAAGTCCTATATAGGGTCACTGTGAGTCTGAAGTGACCCTATAGCAGTGGGCTTGACTTGGTTTGGTGTTGGTTGTACTGTGCTGAAAGAGCGCCCAGAGTACAGTGGGTTAGGCTTTGCGCCACCAGAAAAAGCTGACTGAGGCCGTCTGTGTCCATAACGAAGGCCTATGGAACAGTTCTCTGTCTAGGGTCGCTGTGAATCAGAATCCCACAGCGTTGGTTGGGGGAATACTATACTGCTCCTGATTATCTTCATGACCTCCCTTTACAGTCCAACTGCCTGTCATCACAAAAATGGCTTTTGCTCTATTGAAATAGTCATTGTGTCTGTTACTGTCTCCAGTGGTATCTATATTGAATTATACATGTATATTTGTTGTTGTTAAATGCATTCCGACTCATAGCTGCCCTGTTTAGGGTTTTCAAGGAGTGACTGGTCAGTTTGAACTATAGATCTTGTGGTTAGTAGTCCAGTGCTTATCCTACAGTGCTACATCAGGACTCCACATATTTTATATATATATGATGGTGGTGATGTGCCATGGAGTCGGTTCTGACTCATAGCGACCCTGTACAGGGTTTCCGAGGCTGTAAATCTTTCCGGGAGCAGAAAGCCTCATCTTTCTCCCGCGGAACAGCTGGTAATTTTGAACTGCTGACCTTAAGGTTTGCATTCCGATTCATAACCACTTTGCTACCAGAGCTCCTTATATGTATGTATACACACACACATATACATATAGTGTGTGGTGCCGTGAGTTAATGCTCTGGACTGCAAAGTTGATTTGATCCACAAGGTTGGCAGTTCACCAGCCATTCCTTAGTAACCCTATATAAGGTTGCTGTCGGTCGGAACCAACTCGATGGCACTTAACGATGCTGTTTTATGTTTGCCTCACTTGACTTTCTGTCCGACACAGGCATTCCTCCCGCTCAGCTCTCCAAGTACAGCAACCTTGGCCACGTGAACGTCAGTGTCATCCAGGAGCAGCTCGCCTTCATCCTTCCCAAGAGGGAGGCTGTCTTCTCTCTAGATGAAAAGGAAGTAGTGCCTGAACTCACAGCTGCAGCCCTGGAACTTCCGGCCAAAGAAACTAGCCTGGAACCTGTGATTCCAGTGTTACCTGAGGGTGGACCAGAGGAGGCTAAGGCTGAGCAGCTGCAGGGGGCACCACAGTCCGAGGAGCCACCAAAGGAAGGTGCAGCACAGAGTGAGGACTAACATGTTCCCTGCGCCCCGAATTGGGCCTGGTAGCTAGTGGCTGGGTGGCCAGGGGCTCAGCATTTGGTGTCTGGTGGGGAGGCCATCATGCACAAGACAGGGGAGACAGGGCAGTTTCCACTGGTGTTCAGAACAGTGAAATTAAAGGGAGCCTGCTCGTTATAAGTAGCATATAAACCACTAAACGGCTGAAAAATGGAATAAATAATAAATCTGACTGATGTCATTGAGTTGCCTGTTCTGGTTGAGATATGACCTGGACAAAGCTGGACTCCTCCCGGAAGGCGCGAGGGAACTACATTTCCTAGCGTCCCTAGTGCCGGAAGCGTCCGCCTTGGCCGGGAAGGAAGAAGTTGGGGGTGGCTTCCTGCTCAGGTCTCTGAACTGATGGGGGCGCTGAGTGCGCCTCGCATCATGGGAATAACCTTGCTTCGGAGAGGGGGCGCGGGGGTCAGTGCCATCCGGGCTTGCAGCTCCACACCTGCACCGCTCGACTTCGAGGGCCCGGCGCGCTCACGCTCATACTGGCATTACTTGAGGCGGCTCCTGCGTGGTCCTCCAGAGCCGCCGTACGCGCATGTGTGCCAAGTAGGGGACCCGGCGCTGCGCACCGTGGCCGCCCGAGTGGAGACGGAGCAGCTGGCAGGGCCCGAGCTGCAGCGGCTGGTGCAGAGGCTGGTGCAGGTGATGCGGCGCCGGCACTGCGTGGGGATGAGCGCGCCGCAGCTCGGGGTGCCGCTGCAGGTGCTGGCTCTGGAGCTCCCCGAAGCGCTCCTCCACACCTATGCGCCGCGAGTGCGGGAGGTCCGCCAGATGGAACCCTTCCCCCTGCGCGTGTTCGTGAACCCTAGCCTGCGCGTGCTGGACAGCCACCTGATCACCTTTCCCGAGGGTTGCGAGAGCGTCGCCGGCTTCCTGGCCTGTGTGCCCCGCTACCAAGCTGTGCAGATCTCAGGTGCGGGGTGACGGGGACTCTGGGCGCCTCTCCTTGTCAAGTCTTTTAGCGAAACTCTGGTTCTTAGTGCAGGCTTGTTGGCTGACCAGCCCGTCTCCTCAGGAGAGCAGGTGTGGGCTGACAGATTGTGATGAGGCAGCTGACTCCTCTGAGAGCACCGCTCCAGTGGGGGGCTGCAAGGCCTGGTCCCCTGGTTACCTCCACCTAGCTCTCTGCTTCATGCTGCCCCCTCACTGTTCTCTTTCACACACTTCTGCCCCAGTTAAGACATCATGCTGCCGTTGGAGAGGTGGGACCAGCTCTGCCAGCCCTGTGAAGGCCATGGCACAGGATGCTTTTGTGAAACATGGTTCTTTTGTCGGGATGGAGGTTGTGGTTGGGATGAGTGCAGCACTTGGGAACAGTTCACTTGGTCAGAAAGCCAACTTTGCATTATAGTAAGTTGCCATCAATTTTGACTCATGACTACTATGTGCGCAGACCCTTGGAATTTTTAAAGCTGTGATCTTTCAGAACATTACCAGGACTGTCTCCCAAGATGCTTCTGGGTGGGTTTGAACCACCAACCCTTGGCTAGTAGCCTGTTAGGAATTGAAAGCAAACAGCAATACTTCAGAAGTGGGAGGAGTGTTCACATGTCTTAGCAAAACAGCCCCATGGCCAGCCAACCACCTAATACTCAGAGCTGAGAAGCAGGCTGAATATTCAGTAATTCAACCTGAGGCATATTCTAGAAAAAAGAGGGGCTGCTGTCTCCATTCCCTTTCTGATGTTGCTCTTGAGAATGGGAATAAGTATGGGGGCTCAAGAAAGAGGGGAAGTTTGTTGAGTGTGATAGTTGCAGTTGGAATGTCCTCACCGAGACTGTCACTCTTGTTTGCAGGACTGGATCCAAGGGGAGAGCAGGTGGTGTGGCAGGCGAGTGGGTGGGCTGCCCGCATAATCCAGCATGAAATGGACCACTTGCAGGGCTGCCTGTTCATTGACAAAATGGACAGCAGGACATTGACAAACATCCACTGGATGGAGGTGAACGACTAAAGCTCTCCTCTGCTGCTGTTCCTGAGGCTTTGAAAACCAGGACACACACACTTGGCTTTGATGTTGTTCCTTGGCATGGACTTGGGACTGGTTTGGAGCCTATAAAAAACAATGTTTTGGTAACTGCTAAGCCAAGTTGTAGGAAGACAATTGAAACGTTTGCTTGAAATCAGTTCTGGACACAATATTAACTTCAACTTGAGAAGAAAAACTAGGCTTTTCTTGACAATTTTCTATGGAGATTAGTGAGGCAAGTTGATAACCATTCTTAGTAGAAATGACTTCACAAGACCTGTATGATCTGTTCCCAGAGCCAAAATTTCATAATAAATGCCGACCCAAAATATCTGGTGGAAATCCTAGTTTATAAGCATATTGATGATTTTCATGGAGTTCTTATTTTACAAAGGGCTCGTGTAACCTGTAGAGTTCGTGGTTTGCCTGAAATACCAGCTTGTTTGTGGAATAAACAGGACAGAAGGGCCCCATTTAAATAAGTTCTGACAACAATGTGAACGTAAATAAGTACCCATACACTTTGACAAGTTCAGATACAGCTTAAGTCTCCACCTTTGCCTTCTACCTTAACAGCCTTGGGGAAGATGTTTCTGCTCAAATCTGAGCAGCTAGTTCCAAGTACATTCCCTAGGTGGAGGCCATGATGCAGGGCTGGGGACGGGATGGTAGTTGAGAGGGTGCAAAAAGCCTCTTACATGGTCATAATTAGTATAGAAACAAAGTAGAAACTTGTGCTTTTGGGTCACAATTAATTTGGAAAACTACTATCACACTGAGCACTATAAACACTGGTTTAAAGAAACTGGAAGAGCTTTGTCAAGACATAAAGAAACTTCAGTTCCTTACCTCATTTTTATGTCCTGAGTTTTGCGATGTGGGAATCTTTGCCAAACAGTCTTTGAGATTCAAGTAGACATACAGTAGGAAATCCAGTAAGTTATCTAAAGAAAAAGTGTTTTAAACAGTCATTTATTAAATGAACCTAGAAAGATCTATTCTACCCAAAGGTTTTGTGTAACCAGGTCAATTCTGGGGACACAGGCCAAGTAAAACACACCGATTCTGTGCATTAAAGTTTCAGAAGAGAATCCTGACCAAGTGCCGCTCCAAGGTTAGAGACTTGGCCTTTGGGGAAATTTGTGTAACATTCTCCTTTCTATTGAAAACATGGGTCTTTACAAAAATGAGAAACTTATGGAGCCTATTTTCACTTGCATAATGTTCCAAACCTCTGCCAGGTGGCTTTGGGATGTCCTGCTTCCATTTAATGTTCTGAGGTTAACAGTCAATCATAACATTTTTGGGACAGAGATTCACCTCCACTGTCCTGTCAGGGAGGCCCGAGAAGAGTAAGTGCTGCTCAGACCTGAATGTATCCATGTTGCTGACCCAACTCCTGTTGTACCCAGAACTGCAGAGGAGGAAGGAGTAGGTTGAATCGCTCAAGACACTACATCCTAATGACGTTATCTATAAAGAACATTTCCACCTAAGCAAGCCATCAACCACAAAAACCACACATGTGGGCACACACACAAACACTCCTCTCCTGGTCAGTGATTTGAGCCTGGTGAACGTTTTAGAATGTATGCAGAGGCTTAGAACAGAATCCCCAGGTACGAGGGACTTTCAGAAGCAGCACCTAGGAAGAAGGTCCTCTACGTAGAAGCCATCTGCGTCAGATGGTGTCAGGTCACGTGTTGGCAGCACACGCCCAGACCACAGGTGGTGGTGAAGTGCCAGAGTCGATTCTGACCCATAGCGACCCTGTACAGGGTTTCCGAGGAGCAGCTTGAACCGCCGACCTTGCAGTTCACACGGCTTTGCAGTCTGGTGCATTAACCCACAACACCACACCAGGAAGGTCTCCAGGCCATGGTAGCCATCAGTTATGATGTGATCATATCAGTTTAGCATGAGCTGTGTTCAGGACCTTTGTTCAGGACATTCTGGGAAACAACTTGAGTGGCTCCGGCTGTTTTATAGCCCCATGATTGGTCAGGGAGTTTCAGCTGAATGAGGAAGCAGGTAAAAGAACAATTATCTGATTCAAGTAGAGAACTGGAGGTGGAAGAGAGGAACTACTTATGACTAGCCAAGTGCCAGCTCAGTCCTGGAAGCCTGGGTGTCTCACTGTCGGGAGAGATTTCCGGGCCACAGAAATATGTAAAGCAATCCACTGATGGGCATGTGTCCCTGCTAAACAGGACAGTGTTCCTAAGCTATAGCTGAGGGTGGCCTCATGAGAATGCAGACCCTACTCTTGAGAAACCAGAATGCTTATTTTTTACTCCTGAGTTCTAAGTGTTAACAGCTAAACAAACCAAATACAGCTGCAAACTCATGGGTCCCCCAGTTTGCATTTTGACCCAGAGGATAGACAACAGGAAGAATGGTCCAGGATACCTTAAACACCCAGTCAAACGAGGTCTTAGAGGTACAGGGACCTCACAAAGCTGACTTGGAGAAGAATAAGACTGACATGACTCCCTACTCTGCTTACAAGAAGAGAGAGAGGAGCAGAGGTCTTTTCATTGGAAACCAGAGAAACCTTCAAAGATACCTAGATGAGTCAAAGATACACTCACTCGGGGGTAAGGGAAGAGGCTCCAGAGGGAACAGGATTTATTAGACTATTTCCAGGACAGGGACCCAGGGGCAGTGGCTGGGCTCAGTGTTGTCACATTCAGAGGGAAAATGACAAGGCAGCAGTGAAACCCACACATTCTCACCCAGTCTTGGGCTCACATAAACCATCTCCTCCAAGGAAGACGCGGGGCCCTGGACACAGCTGGGGAGGGAGGGAAAGGACTCCTGCAGGGGATTTCTGTAGACAGGGTGGCCTGGGGACCCAAGGCATAAGCCAGTCTGTTCTCCAGTTCAACTCGGGTCTAAACCGACAAGCCGTCTCACAGGTGTGTTACACCCACCCCATAGCACCCACCCTGACACTTCCAGGTGATTTTATTTATAAACAAGACAAAAATCCAAGCAGCATTAACTTAGGGGAACAAAAAGATTTAAAAAAAAAAAAATCATCGGGGACGTGACCAGGAGTTGGTGAGCATCCAGAAGACAGGGAGGAGGAAGAGCCAGGATTCCACCGTGAGCTGAAACTGGGGCAGCGTCTCTGCAGCTGGGGAGGCCCTTCCGACCTGCTCCCTGCTGAGGGCCAGACAGACAGCAGAGGGGACGCTGTAGTGACGTCAGGACAAGGCCTGGAGCTCTGTCTGGCCACCGTCATGGGGAGTACCGTGGATCTGCCCCGATCTACCTCCCGCCATCACCATCACCCAAGTGAAGAAGCTTTTAACCCTCTTGTCCAAAGTCCTCTGAGAACTTCTTCACTTTCAGAAGGTCATCTGCATTCACAGTGGGCCGGGTGGTGGCCAAAGACCGGAGCATGTCCGACTGCAAAGACAGGAGCAAGCAGCTGAGAAGGGGCCAGACACCACATCCTCAGCCTCCCCCCACCTCGGGATTGTGCAGTCTACGCTGAAGCCAGAACCCCTCCTGCAAGTTGCTCACTTCTGCTTGAATGCCCCGCGACAGACTTGCTTCTAAGGCTCTCCATGCCATTTCCAGATGGGCCTACTCGTCGTCTGAGAGAGCCTAAGTGCCCTCATTCCTCACTCCTATCAGCAGCTCACTCTCAGCTGCACACCGACCCCACCAGCCACAATGGAGGCACCTGGCAGTGCAGAACAGGTGAGGCAGTTGCCAAAACTAAGGTCACAGAAGAGGTGAAACAGGAGTATTCAGGCGAGTGGCTGCCTTTGGACTGCATCTAGTCCAGCCTCGTGGACATAAATTTACTGGTTCCTTCTGTGTGCAAAATAAGCCAAACCTGTGGCGCTATATAATCACATCATCTCATCTACACTTGTCTTGCTGAAGAAAGTGAAATGTGAACCGCATGTCTTGGGTCCAGATTGAGGCAAGGGTAGGAGCCCCTGCCACCCTGAATCATAACGGCTGTTCTCCGTTTAGGAGGAGCCACAGCAGCCCAGGGCAGAAAAGGGGAGAGATTTACTCTTGCTCTTGGACACAAACCCCAATTTTCCAGGTTCTGTGCAGTCCTCTTTCCCTGTTGGTCACTTACCATGCAAACCACAGGCTCTAAGAGTTTGTCACTAGGGACATCCATCCAAGTCATCTCCATAGCCCCCGGGTCCCCTGGTGAGCAGGGGGTCAGGAGGTCATCGATCATAACGCTAGGATTGGTGCGGGAAGGGCCACAAACCTGAAACCAGATGGCAGTTGGACTGGCTGGAGTGGCAGACAACCAGTGTTTGGGGGAAGGGACAGGAGGCCTCAGATTTCTGGGGTCTGGAGAGAAGGTAAAAGTAGGTGAGAGCACCCAGGATTCCGGGCCATCAGAGAGCTGAGGAGGGACGACACACTCCATGAAAGCTCTAGGGCCACGAAGTCAGCATGGCTCAAGGTCAGAGTTCAGAGATTCATCGTCAGTAGTTCTATGAAGTATGAACTATCGTAATAGTTCCAGGCCCAGTCCCCAGAGACTCAGCCTGTGGCCCTAGGTATCTTGATGGCCCTTGTTAACCCCAATGAACTTCAGTATGAATGCTGTGGCACCAGCCAGTTCTGCTCCAGCGGCAATTTCTCCCCAAATATCCCCACAGCTCGCCTCCTCACCACCTTCCAATATCTCCTCAGTGTGGCCTGTGCTTGAAGAAAGCATCCTCCCCTCCCCTCTACACCTCAGCTCCCCCAGTCCCCAGCATGCCCTACTGCCCCTTTAGACACTAGTGTTTACTTTATTGTCTCCCTCCACCACCAGAAAGGGGGCTGCTAAGCGGCAGGGGGCTTTGTCTTTTGTGGTCGCTCATGTCTTCCCAGCATCTAGATCCGTGCCAGGCACATAGTAGGACCCATAACAGACACTCAATGAGTCCATACAATCTGTAATTTTACAGCCAGCATGCTTCAAACATTCACCAAGTGCCCAACCACGGAGCTGCTGGAGGTTGTTGAGTACAGCACCCTCCCCACAAGCTGTGCACAATCTGGATGGCCCCACTTGGAGGGACCGGAGAAGGCCCTGTACAAGCCCCCTGAAGCTAACGCTGACTTTGTATTTGCCCCTGGTTCTCTAGGAAACTCGGAACATGTCACCTGGGCGATCAAGTGATAGGGTCAGGGAGCTGACCAAACTGATACCTATTTGCTGGCCCACTCACCTTTTTGAAGTGTGTGGCCGACTGTACTTTCCTCACAGGCTGCATGAGAGAGTCCCGCACGATGATGCTGATGTCTGCACCTGAGTAGCCTTCTGTCTTCCGGGCCAGCTCATGGATGTTGGCATCAGTGAGGCTATGGGGGGTGCTTCCTAGATGCAACCGGAACATCTGGGCCCGGGCAGCTTCCTCCGGCAATGGGATGTAAATCCGCTTTTCAAACCTGGAGAGCCGAGCACACAGCAGGGACTGAGGGTTGGTGATGGAATGGCTTTAACTGAGAGATGACGCCTGGAGATTCTAAGGAATCACAGTGATAATAGACCAGTGGTGCCAGCAGCATGGCTCTGCCCCCACACAGACACAGAGAAGACTTGGGAAACGGTTCTGGTCGTATCTGGAGGGCAGCCTGCAGCAGATGGGTGGTGGCTGAGAAAGACTTCAGCCTCTGGCTCCTGCAGAGTAAGACCCATGACTCACCTCCTTCTAATGGCTGAATCCAGTACCCACGGGATGTTTGTGGCACCGAGAACCAGAGTTCCATCGTTGTTATTCCCCACCCCTGTGTTGAAGAGGAAACAAAGATGTGGACTCTGAAAACTTCACAAGCAGCCAGAACCTTGGGGAAGGATTTTAGGAGCTTCATGGGCCCATAGCCTGAAGCCACCACTCCAGAGGTTCCCATGGAGATGAAAGCACAGGGGTTGCTGGGGAATGAAAGGACCTAAGGCCCCGCTATGACAGGAGGGGCAGAAAGGTTGGTCGGAAAGGTCTCCACAGCCTCTCTTCATGAAAGCCCATTAAAGACAGAGCTGAGAAATCCCTCTCCACTCCAAGGGCAATCAAACCAAGGTACAGTCCATAAGGAAGCCCTGTACTGCCCTGAAATGCAACACAAATCAACATAGCAACCTGGGACTAGCACGCACCCTGCATCTGGACCAAGAACTCGGTTTTGATCCTTCGAGCAGCTTCACTCTCATTTTCATTTCGGGATCCACAGAGGGAATCCACCTCATCAATGAAGATGATGGAGGGCTTGTGCTGCCTGGCCAGCTCAAACAGGTTCTTCACCAGCCTGGGCAGCGGAAGACAGGGTTAGACTGGACACTCACATGCCCACCCAGTCCCAGTGCCCCTCTCTCTCCACATGGGGGTGGAGACCACGGTAATGCACGGAATTCAGAAAAAAAGGGAGTGACAAATCCTCTGGCAACAGTGTTCTAAAAGGAAGAGCAAGCCTTCATGTGACCTTCAATCTTAGGAGCTCTGGACTTAGAACAAGTCCCTCCCCTTCCTCTGAGCCTCAATTTTATCATCTGCAAGATGGGAACTGGCATGGGGAATAAATAACCAAGATGTAATAAAATACCTTGACAGGGGACGTTCCACTGACAGTACTCTCCGCTCCTTTCCTTCTTTTCTTGAGCACTTCCTCTCTCCCAAATTCCCTTCCTAATTTCAACAATCTTGCAAAGACACGGTCCCATCCAATAAGTTATCTGGCTACATCTCCCTGAGTATCCCCAAGCTCCTCAGAGGGTAGGGAAGTGGGTGCACTAGCAGCGGTTGGGCCCCCATCTGGTGGCTGACTTACTTCTCACTCTCTCCCAACCACTTAGACATGAGATCTGAGGAGGACACAGAGAAGAAGGTAGAGTTGTTGGCCTCCGTTGCTACAGCTTTGGCCAAGTAGGATTTCCCTGTGCCAGGGGGTCCAAAGAGCAGTATCCCTCGCCAAGGGGTGCGCTTGCCTACAACAAAGAATAAACCAAAGTGAGCTGCTTCCTGAGTGGGGGAAGTGGACAGAAAGAAGGAGAGAATTCTTAGTCATTTCAAACACTGTCAGAAAGAAAAGGTTCTAAAAGGTAAGTGATTCAAAAAGCTGAGAGGATGAAGTTACCTGCTGAGAGCTTAGCCTAGTTCTCACTAGTAGCCTCCATAACCTTCCACAGTGCCACTGGTTCTTGGCCCTGCTACCTACTGGGGTGGTCAATCAGTCCCAGGCTTTTGACCACTAGAGAGAAGCCAAGGAATAGAGGACCATGGCCAGCAGGCCCTGGGGGCTCTACTTTCTCCTGGGAAGGTTGTAGCCTCACTGTTCTCAGGGCAAACAGAGCTGTTCCTGGACACCTTCAGTGGAACACGTGGGGGTGGGGGTGGTAGTGTGCTGTGGAGTAGGTTCTGACTTATAGGGTTTCTGAAGCTATGGATCTTTACAGGAACACAAAGGCTCATTGTTCTCTTGTGGAGCAATTGGTAGATTCAAACTGCTGACCTTGTGGTTAGCAGCCCAAGGTAAGCCACTACACCACCAGAGCTCCTTACTAGGCCCCTTAGAAGCCTGTCATTTTTACATGTGGGTCTAAAGTGGTGGCAGCTCATACCTGTGAACAAGTGTGGGAACTTAATTGGCAAAATGACAGCTTCTTTGAGGGCCTCCTTGGCCCCCTCTAGCCCCGCCACATCATTCCACCGAATGTTGGGCTTCTCCATCACAACAGCACCTGCAGCAAGACACAGAGCCTTCAACCCCAGGCCAGCCAGTGCCCATGAGCCACCATGGGCCCCACGCCAAGGGCCCCTCCCACTGCCAGTGGGCCACAAGCCTCTTACCCATCAGTTGCTCTTGCAATTTCTTTTTCTCTGGATTATCTCCTTCACTGTCACTGTCACTGCTGGGAAAGGAGACGAGATCTTAAGCTGGCATTTTATCCTGTGAGCAAAGGTTGTTGGCAAGGAGCCTCTCAGTATGAAGCCAGTGACACTGGGGATTAGTGGCAAGCAGGTACTTCGATGACATTAGGGCCACATTATCAGCAACTCACCTCTGGACACCCTGCGCCCCCCCCCCCCGAGCAAACATTCTCAAACCCCACCCTTGTTTCTTTATTAAGGGACGAAGAAGAGAAACGTCTGCCCCTCCAGGAAGTCGGGGAGAGCAGCCAGTTAGGCCAGTGCAGCTGCCATGAGCCTTTCACAGGGGCTCGAGAACAGACAGCTGAGACTCCCCAGTAGCCACATTCCAAAGCACAGAGAAGAGGTAAATGCGGAAATGTTCTGGGGAAAAGAACAGAGTAATTCATCTGTTTCAGTGGCCAGGGCTTGCCCAGCAGCCATTGGTTTGCCATCCTTAAAAATACAAGCACACTCTCCCTCTAGGAGGACAGGAGGCTCAGGAGAGAAGCTGAGACACTGCCCCCTGCCCGTCTCCCTCACCTCCAGGACACCACAGGCCTTGGCATCAGAAGCGGGCCCGGGTGTGGAGCAGCCGCTCTCATGCACCGGCTCTATGATCCTGGCAGATCTCTACTGCAATCACAAGGAGGCCACTCAAACCTACCAGCTTCTTGGTGGAGAAAGATATGGATGACGGTCTTGAATACCCTACGGTGCACTTCTACTCTGTACTGTTGGGTCACTGAGAGTCAGTGGGTTTAATTTTCTGGTTTTGAAGTACTGATCACTTTTCTAAGGGCACGGCCAGATCATAGCTCTTGTTCCTTCCAACACCAGCAGGGGAGTTCCATTCTCTTCCCACTTCCACAAAGGAGAAAACTAGGGGACGGCGGGGGCCACGGTACATGTCCAAGAGCACAGGTCATGAAGCTGGACTAGGAGTCTGCCCTAACAGTCTAGCTACTGAGTCCAGTCCTAACCTCCACGATGGGCTCCCATCTCCTCCCAAACCCAGCTTTTTTGTACCGATCCAAGGGGATAACAGATGTCTGAAAGTATTCTGTGCTGCGTTTAATGAAAGCAGCTGCGAGCTTTACTTTTGTTATGAGGAACATTCCTCAGGAGGAAAGCATCATGGAGGTCCAAGGTGGCCATCCCTCCGCACTCACCCTTTGCCCTCACTCTGGTTCTCTTTGACTGGCTTCTTGCCATGTTTCTCTTTGTTTCGTAGATAATCCTTCAGCTTCTCTGCCCGGTCTAGGTACTGCATGCACTTGGTGCGAATGCTCTCCTTGGCCTTGTCGCTGTGTGCCTCATCTGTGGGAGGGATTCGGAATGGGACCCTGTGAGCCCGGTGCCTGACCTCCTCCAGCAGAGACTCCTAGGCAGGGGACCCGAGTGTGACTCACACTTGATGGCGTGTAGGAAATACTCCACGGCATGCTGGTAGAGCCGAAGTGCCTCCTCGTAGTTCTTGGCTTTATCCTCTTCTGTAGCTTTCGTCACCAAATCAATGGCTTTCTGGAAAACAGAACAAATAGTTCAGTCTTCCTCCAGAGGTCCAAAAAGCCCTTGGCAGGCAAGAAATACTGGAGAGAGGTATTGCCAGGCTTGTGGACTTGTCAGCCACAGACCCGTACGTCAGCCTACTTTCCCAATGTCAACTAGCAAGGCCCTGAATCAGGGAGCTTTAAAAGCTAGTTGTTCCTCTTCACAATAAGCACATATAGATACAAGCAGCATGCTTCTTCGCTCCTGCTCTGGATTTCAGCAGGCAGAAGCCTAATCTAACATCTGAGGTTAAGGCTTAAAACGGAGCTTCTCAGGACTTTGTAGTCTATGACCTCAAGGAAACGAAACACAGACGTGGCCTGAGAAGCTGGACTCTGGGAGCACAGAGATAAACTGATTGCTGTGTGGCTCAGCATGGAAGCCAGAAAGCGCACTTGGCCTTCAGAGCCAGAGAGGAGACAGCTAGCCAGGGAAGTCCTCTGTTGATGTGAGGTTTTCGATGAGATGAATTTAGCAGATCTAACCCAACTTGCTTCTCTGGAGTCCTGGTGTGGCACTATGGGTTAATGCGCTGGACTGCAATGTCTGAGGTTCAAGCTTGCCAGTCACTCCTCAGAAACCCTACAGAGGGTTACTATGGGTCGGAACCAACTTAACAACAACATAGACAGATAGCTCAGGAAGGGATACTGAGGCACAGGGTTCATTCTACCAGTAGCTCCAGGAAGAAAAGCACTTGATTTCAGCAGAAACAAATATGCGCTGCCTATCGAGGGACATGTTCTTCTGGAACCCTGTAAAAGCTTGGAGTGAATCTCAGAACCTGTGGGCCTGAACCACGGTCTGAATGAAAAGCCAGCACACCGGTTCCTTCAGACAGCTGTCCCACACCTACAGATCCACGTACAGAAGCTGCAGCTTCACCCACTAGGCAGCATCATGAGACAGACACAGCGTGTTCCCGCCCCAGCAAATGAGAGACCTCCTAGCCAGCTTCTGTGAAGCCCGTCCTCATTTGAAGGTAAGACATCAGAAGAACAGGGACCAACAGATGAGTAAGTCAGGCCACACTGATGGTAGATGAACCCACCAGACTGAAGACATGCGGAAAAGTGCACAAGAGTCTTGACAACTACTCCATTCAAGCTTCAGCTTCCCCCCGCCCCACTACCTACAAACAGACACAGGCTACAAGCCCCCAAACTTCTTAGCCTCCACACAACCCTCACTCATCTGCTCTCTCTCCCCTGGGGTGAGGGGCTGCAGAGTTCTATGATGGAGCTCTTGTCCTGGTGGCTTCTCTTCTCCAGGGCAAACACCCCAGTTCTTTCCACTTTTCCCTTCCTGGTGTGGTGCTGTAGGATCAGCACTGGAATGCGACCCATAAGGTCAGTGGTTCAAACCCACCAGCTACTCCTCAGAAACCATAGACAGGGTTGACATGGGTAGCAATCGATAGCACTTAACAACAACAAGCTTCCTAGGGAGTACAGTGGACTGTGAACCACAAGGTCAGTGGTTTGAGCCCACCAGCCGCTTCACAGGAGAAAGCTGAGGCTTTCCGCTCCTGCAGAGATTTAAAGCCTCAGAAACCCTATACAGGGTCACTATAAGTCAGAAGTGACTCAACAGCACTTAAACAACAAGCAGTGTTGTTGCCATAAGTCAACTGCTCTGTAGGGTTTTCAGAAGCAGACCAGCAGGCCTGGTTTCCAAGTTGCCTCTGGGTGAAACTGAACCCCCAGTGTAGCACTTAACCATTTATATCACCCAGGGCCTCCCTAGCTTCCCTAGGCCTTTTTAAAGGTGGGGCCCAGAACAACAATACTGGGAGGTGAAGCAGAACAGGCCTGGGCCAAGCTCAGCCTCCTTCAAAATACTCAATTAATACAGCTCAGAGCTTAGAAGTAGTCAGATGTTCCTGAGCATCTCCTATACTATGGGCATGTTATCAAGAGGGGCCAGTCCCTGGAGAAGGGGAGCCAGCAATAAAGGAGACAACCCTCGGCGAGATGAAATGGCACAGTGGCTGCAACAATGGGCTCAAAGATGGCAATGGTTGTAAGGATGGCACAGGACCAGGCAGTGTTTCGTTCTGTTCACACAGGTTGTTATGAATGGGAACCAACTTGACAACACCTAATAACCTAATAAGGACTACAAGAATGAGTCAGATTTAGCTAGCAATCACATATAAGAGGTCTAGGTCTTGGCGTCAATCTGGAGAGCAACAGCTTTGTGTAACAGGAGGTGAAGGTGACAAGAAAACTGCCAGGCTGCCACACCTCTAGTAGCGCATATGGAGAAGGATGACAATTAAAGTAAAAATGTGCTAATAAAGGGCTTGGCAAACTTTCTGGAAAGGGCCAGATAGTAAACATTTTAGACTTTGTCAGCCATACAATCTCTGTTGCAATTAGTCAACTCGGCTAGGGTAGGCGGAAAGCAGCTACAGAAAGTATGGAAAGAAATGAGCAGGGTTGTGCCCCATGACACCTCATTCAGAGGCATGGAAATGGGTCTTTCATGGTTTTCACATGTCTCAAAATATTTTCTCTTGCTTTTTTTTTTTTCTGAGCATTTACAAATGCAAGAACCTGCAATATGGATGCATCTTGAAAACACACGAAGTGAAAGAAGTAAGTCATAAAGGATTCTGTACTATCTGATCCTATTTACATAAAATGTCCAGAATCGGTAAATATATACAACAGAAAGTAGATGAATAGTTGCCTAGGGCCAGGAAGGCTGTGGGAATTGGGGAGTGTCAGTTAAGGGAAATTCAGTTTATTTTTGGAGTGATGGAAATGTTCAAAAATTGACCTGGGTGATGGTTACACAGATGTATGAAAATACTAAAATGCCCCTGAATTCGACACTACATAGGTGAATTATATCATAATAAAGCTGTTTTTAAAAATGTAAAAACCGTTTGTAGCTCACAGGTCATACAAAACTGGCGGGGCAGGCTGGATCTGGCCTGAGGAATGGAGTTTGCCCATAGTTGTGAGCACGTATCAACGCTCCTATCAGAGCACTCGGGAGGTTTGGTTATGTACACCAACCAATTCCTGGCTTGCATAACACTACTATATATCCCATGCCTCTATTGCCACTTTTGCTTCCGCCCTACATATCTGAATGCTACCATCCTATGGTCAAATGCCCCTTCTTCCATGAAGTCTCACGGAGCTACCCCAAGCACTTTACTGGCATCACGTACTAAGCATAACCAATATACCCAACACTGTGTTACCAACGTTTGAACGAAATTATTCAATCTAGACCCAGCCTCACAACATAACTACGATTTAGGATATAGCCGTCCCACCCCCATTTCAGAGAAGAAGAAACTGAGATTCCAAGATCAGATAAACCAGCCCAAGGTCACAGGCAAGCGAGTGGCTGAGCCAATTCAACCCCAGGTCGGGAGTCTGGGCATGTTTACGTTTTCTGGCCCTGCAGGACTGGCAGCACCAGAGGAATGGGTCAGTCATTCATCCAGATGGTGCCACCCCAGCAGCACCGTGAACGACATGAGGAATGAATGAAGGGGTCGTTGGCCCAAAGGAGAGGTAGCAGGCCAGGGGGCTTGTTCGAAGTGGGGCAGAGGGGCTTCCAGGACTCGGGTCAGGTGGCGGAAGTGAACTCCACCAGGGCCAGCAGCCCCACCCGGGGCCCGAGTTTCCCCTGGAAGCGCCTGCAGTGCCCGGGTGAGGCTGATCCACACGACGGTACCGGGGCGCCGGCTGCACGGTGCGGCCTCGGAGCTCAGAACAACCGGGGTGGCTTCGGAAGGTAAGGTGCCCCTTCAGCTCCGAGTGCGTGAGGACAGTAACCGGCGGAGGGAGGTTCGGACATCCGGCGCGCGGCTGGGGTCGCGAGGCCGGGGCTACGGGGAGGCCGCCCGCCCGGTTCCGCGGCCCGCAGGCCCCGCCGCGCCTCCTTCGGCCTCCGCATGCCGCGCCGAGGTACCTGGAGGGTTGACGTTGTCATTTCATCTCCTGGGTCCGCCCCACACCCTGCGGTGTTTCTTGTGGCCTCGGTCCGGGCCCGGGGAGCCGAGGTACTGGGTCCGGAGCGGGGAGCCCGGAGGGTCCGGGTCTGGGCGCGGGCAGGGCGGCCGCTTGCAGCCGGAGCCAAGTCGGAGGGTGAGCGAGGAGCGCGGCCCAGAGCGGTCGGACCCGCGGCGTGCGGCTGCCCCCGGCGGCCTAGACCGGTACTACAGGGGCCGCTCCACGACGCGGTCGATTGGTGACAGACCGGACGGCTGGAACGCGAACTGGGCGGGAGGGGGCGTGTCCAGGACTGAGGAAGAGCTGGGGACGCGATAGGGGCGTCTTGAGTGGGGCGGGCCGAGTCGGGGCGAGAGCGGGAGACTGATTCTGCGTTTGTAGGGTAGGGCCAGCGCTGCGGTGAGCGAGGCGAGACTAAGGGCTGGAAGTACCTGGACCTGTTTCGAATAAAATTTCTGGAGCTGGTACAACTAGGATGCTCCTTAGAGTGCTCCAATTCCTGAAAAAGAACATCATGTTTGGAAAAATAAAGGCTAGAAGAAAAACAGGAATCCCCTCAACAAGACTGACACTGGCTGCAACAAACAGCAATTTAAAATTCAAATAGCAATTGTAAAGATGGCGCCCTGGTAGTCAGCAACAGCGCAAGTTTACTGCACTTAACGTCATAAACTTAACTTCCTAAAGCTTGGTGTGGAGCTGTAGGATAAGCACTGGACTGCTAACCACAACGTCAGTGGTTCTAACACACCAGCCGCTCCTCAGAAACTCTATACAGGGTTGCTATCAGTCTAAACCAACTAGATCTTAACAAGTAAGATGTAACCTGTAACCCACCGTTGACTTGGTTCCAACTCACAGCGACCCTGTGCACAACAGAACAAAACACTGTCTGGACCTGCACCATCCTCACAATCCTGTCATGTCTGAACCTATTGTAGCCACTACGTCACTGTCTCTTGGGGGTTTCCCTCTTTTTTGTTGACCCTCTACTTTGTTAAGCATGATGCCTTCTTCCAGAGACTTTCCCTCTTGACATGCCCAGTGTATGTTAGATGAAGTCTGTCATCCTTGTTTCCATGGAGCATCCTGGCTACACATCTTGCAAGACAGATGTTTGTTTTTCTGGCAGTCCATGGTACTTTCAATATTCCTCACCGACGTTATAATCATAATTCAAATGCATTGATTTTTCTGTGATCTTCCTTATTTACTATTCAGCTTTCACATGCATATGAGGCAATTGCAAATACTATGGTTTGTGCCAGGTGCACCTTAATCCTCAAACTGACATTTTACAAAGATCTAACATTCTCCTTAAGTAGGATATAATCATAGATACCTTGCCTGTGTTTTTGGGAAGCCTGCATGAATTACCTTATGTAAAAGCAGTGTTTGCCAGAGAGGAGACTCAGTACCTGGTAACTTATTATGGTATTGGTTTAGTCTAAAGTCTTTTTTGTGTGTGCTTGTTTTACATTTAAAATACTATAGTAATCATTCTACTTTTCCCCTCAGGAAGGTGTTCTTCTTAAACCTTGGAATCTGAGGGCTTTACTCAGGCACATTAGATTAGTTATTCACATTCCTTCATTCAACTGTACTAAGTGCTAACTATCTCCCAATGATCAGAACAGCTCTGCTGGGGCTGACAGGCAGGGGAGAAAGATGAGGTTCATCAGGAGGTAATAAGTGTATCAAGGCCTATGTGTGAAAGACCACATGACCTGTGAGTTTCTAACAGGTAATATACCCCAGACAGGGAATCAGGAAAGGCTCCCATTTACTTGGAGGTTCGGGAAATGAGGAAAAGAGCATTACAGGTTAATGCAACAGAAGGTGCAAAGGCCACTGGGGGTTTTCAAGAAATTGGAGGTCCAGCTAACTAGAGCAGAACACCAGACAGTCTGATGTGAACTGACACTGGAAATGTAAGCAGGGGCCAAGACTATAGTCAAGATTTTGGATTTTATCTCAAAAACAATGGGAAACTTATTATTTTTTCTTTTATTTTTTTTCATTTTGGAAAGAGGACTTTAGCCCTGGTATAGAGAACAGATTGAGGAAGAGCAGTGGATTATTGCAGTATAAAGCTGTTTAGTCCAGAAGATAGGGAACCTTCACCCAGGGGGACTATGAGGACTATGCAGAGTAGAGAATCCCAAGCACTTGGAATTAGATTGTTGTTGTTGTTAGGTAAAGTACCTTATGCACAGCAGAATGAAACACTGCCTGGTCCTGGGCCAACCTCACACTTGTTGCCATGCTTGAGTCCATAGATGCTGCCACTTTCCCAGTCCATCTCACTGGGGGTCTTCCTCTTTTGTTCTGATCCTCCACCTTACCAATATGATATCCTTCTCCAGCGACTGCTTCCTCTTGACAATATGTCTGAAGTATGAGAGACGAAGTTTGTCCATCTTGGCCTCCAAGGAGCACTCTGGTTGCACTTCTTCCAGCACAGATCTGTTGGTTCTTCCGGCAGCCCATGGAACTTTCAATATTCTCCTCCAACACCATAACTCAAAAGCATCAATTCCTCTATGGTCTTCCTTTATTACTGTCCAACTTTCACATGCGTATGTGGATACTGAAAATACCATGGCTTGGGGAAATAATGTTAAGATACTTGGCTGTCTGCTGAATCTTGATTTCCCTGGCATACTGCTCTAAAATAGACACTGGAGGTGGTGAGAAAGGAATAGTCAGAAATATCACCATAGAAATCTTGTAAGCCCATCTTCAGCCTGTAACTGATTGTAACCTCTAAAATGGGGTTACAATCTGCCCAGCGAAGGAGGCTACCTGTGGAGCCTCTGCATTACACAAGACCATATGTGGAATCCTGAACAGCATCCAGAATCTTCTGAGGGGAAATTTCCACTTGAAAGGACAAGCAGACCAGCCTAGAGTGGCCAGAAGAACAGAAGATACTTCCTGAAAGACTGACAGGAAAAAATACAAAACAATATAGGCAGGCCAACTGATTACTACAAGAACAAGCAAGTGGCTTACCCAGGAGACATCAAGGCAAGTGATCGGGTCCTCCTCAGGGCAAACCCCCTTCTAAGACTAAGGCTCAATGGCAATGCATGCTCTGATTGGTGACCATGTTCGTCACCAATAAGGGGAAGTAAGGGAAAAATAGCAATGAAGCTGTGAGCTAAGCCCTACAACGCTCAATAGCCTCCACCTAGAGACCTGGTTGGCCAACAGTGTGCCAAGTCCAGGGGACTCTTGGACCCAGACTCAGCAACATAGCCACAGAAGACTAGGGTGGAGAGTGAAGCGTCCAGCTGATAAGAGAGGGCACATGCATAAGTACACCCACACTTACAGATAATACCCACTTGACCTGGCTTCAATGGCTGGATGATCAGAGCTCAAGAAAAAAGAGGGAAAAAAGAATAATCTGATACAATTTGATGAACTTGACATACACCTATGGAAGCAGTAGCTCAAAAGTGAACAAATATTCACAGTGAGGATCATTCCCACCTCCTCCGCACAGGGAGAGGACAGGAATGGGCAACTTGGACATAGGCTACCCAGAATGGGGGAGGGGAGGCTACAGAGGCAAGAAGTGACTGGCTTACAAGCTTTCAAGAGGGAACCTGGATCCTAAGGGCATGGAGCAAGGTAGAATATCCACTGAGTAGTATCCATTCTGCCTAGTCAGGGCTGATGAAAGGATATGTGGATAGGTCTCTTGAGATACAATAGCGAATAATTGTTATCAGGACTGATTGTAAGGGCTGGAAATGTAGACTTTTGGGGCAAAAGGAGGGAAGTGATTAACCTTGCAGTCTAGGAGCGGAGCTCCCTGGGACCATCAAAGGAGAAGAGCGGAGAATGGAACCTTACCCAGAGAAGCAGAGATGCCAGAGTTGGAGGCAGAGATGATGACGTGGGGAGATGGAGTGGCTGGGGACTTTGGACCCGGAGAGGGAGAGGGGCTGTATGTGGATGGCCTGGGGGCAAGCTTGTGGGGTATACCCTTTGGTTGATGGATGATGCATGGAAGGGATTGTAACCATGGCAAGGAAACGATATACGACGGGATCAATGTGAAGCTGATGTCCTCCCATGTAAACTATCACGTAATTCACAATAAAGCATTTAAAAAAAAAAAATGCAAGAGACTTTTTATGTTTTAAAATAAGTTTATTATAAGAAGACAAAAGTTTTGATATGTCATTTTTAAAAAGTGATGCTTCTTCATGCTGTATAATTAAAGAGGCTATAGTTACAAGTGTCTTTCTACAGAAATTCTTTGACAATACCACATAGTGTCATCTCTGCATTGCTAGTATAAATTTTTAGTCTTTTCTATGCTTTTCTTTAAAAAATGATGAATAATAACAGAAGATGGCATGAAAAAAAAACATGTTTTTCCTATTAATCCTTTAGTTTTGGAGCCAGTATCTTTTTATCACAGGCTACAATTTCCACTTTATCCACTTCAATAAGCTCTGTCACCTCTCTGAATTCAACATCACTCAAGACAGAAGTCCACACATTATCACAGAATCCATATGCATTTAGAGAGCCCTGAAATAGACTGATCCTGACCCTCTGAGCCAGTGTTGAATTAACAGCCTTATCAAACTGAAGTCCAACTTGAAGGGCAAGTTGGGTAATGATCTGTTGAGACTATGAGCTCATCTAGGCTCTCCTGAAGACTGTTTCCAAAGTGCTATTTCTGTATAACTGAAATGCCATGGCTTAGGTGGAAGCAATTGTTTTTCTTATTCAGACTTGCACTGATATCCTGTGGGGAAGGTGCCTCCCACTGCAGAGTGGACAGAAGCCCAAAAGGAGCAGACTGCTTTCCGACTAGTTCTTATCAGCAGCTGCAGAAAACGAAGACAAAGAACTTTAATATAAATCATCAATGTATACACGGGGAGTGGGAGAGAAAGTTCTTGTTTACAGTAATATGCTAACTAATAAATGTAGAATGACAGTAATAGATAATCACCATTTGGTAACCAGCACAGTGGCAAGTAATCCAGGTAGGAGTTACCAATGCATGGTAAACCTGGTGGGTTTGATGAAAAACAGCATACTGGCATAGTATTAGATATCTCCACCACAAAACGCTAATCAAATAGAAAGGGAACT